AAGCCACCCACCTCAACAAAACCTGTGCTGTCCATCAGCCCCAGCACAAACCTAAGTCATGAGGTCAACTTTCAGCCAGGATGGGATGGCTCTGGGAAGTTTAGTCAACATTAAAGAACAAGAAAACCATGACAAATACAGTAAGCAAGTCATTTGTGTAAAATATCACAAAGCCGCTAAAGCAACAAAGATGAAAAATGAGTGTGCATGGTGGTTAAGGGACTGGACTGGACTTCCACATGATCAACTGCAGTTCAAGTCCCAGACTGGAGGCTTAAAAATCACACTGCGCACATGTGCATGCCCCAAATCCCAAAGGGACTGCAACATGGCCATTCCCCCTGAAGGGCGATTTCTCACTTTCCCTTTCTCTGGCTCTCTGGTGAGCATGCAGGCCCTATGACAAAACGCTAACAACAAAAAATAATGAAAAGAAAAGAAAAGAAGGGGTCAGCAGGTGGCATAGTGGTTAAGGTGCTGGACTTGCCGCGTGGATGACCACAGTTTGAATCTCAGACCCGGCGGCTTGAAACTCACATCAGGCACATGTGCATGCATGCCCAAAATCCCAAGAGGAGAATGGAGGAGAAGGGATTGTGATGTGGCCAACGCTTGGGGGAATTTCCTGCTTTCTCTCTGTCTTTCTCTGTGTCTCTGGTGAGGACATACACCCTATGGCAAAAATCCACCTCTAAAAAAAAAAAAAAAGGAAGAGAAGAGAAGAGAAGAGAAGAGAAGAGAAGAGAAGAGAAGAGAAGAGAAGGGAGAAAGAAAGAAAGAGAGAGAGAAAGAGAGGTAAAATTCCATGGAGTGAAGACCGAAGTGTTTTCCCTGGAGGACTTGAATTCTGGAGGTGAGAGGCTGACAGCTCCTCTCACCAGCTGGGAAAGAGCCAAAGTGGGGAAAGCAGTGGGGAAGGGAGCAGAACTCTCTCCTCGCAAAGCTAGATGAGGAAGAAGAGTTCGAGGGCAAAGCGGTTTTCCTCCTGCTTCTCAAGGACACCTTAAGGCGGTGGGGGACAGAAGAGCCATTCACAGACGCTGGGCGCACGGCTGACTTGCAGGCCACGTGACACCTAGAGCTCAGTGTCCCGGGCTCCCAGAGGACAGGACTTGGTCAATGCTCTAGTCTCCAGACACCCGCCCAGGACGGAGCTGTAAGACACAGGGCACCAAGACACCGGCCAAGCCTCCAGTGCCCAGAGCAGCCCAGCCGGCTCTGCCTCACAGAGCTAAAGGGACCCCCAGAGTCGGGGCTGCCACAGATCCCCCAGAACTACGTGTGGTAAGTACATCAGTGACCGTGCAGAGCTCGCCTCCAAGCAGTCAGGGGGCCCTTCCCAGCAGGCCTGACAGGCACCCTGACCGCTGGCCAGGTGTGAGCCGAGCGACCTGGGTGCAGATGGGCGTTGGACCCTGGCTGGGCAGTTCTAACTGTAGTCCGCCGGACTGCATGGTCTTCTCACCAGAGGACTTCATGGAGCTCAGGGTCCTCAAATGCACTGCTGATGTGGGACTCCTCTGACCCCCACGTCAGAGTAGAGACCACGGGGAGAAGCCACGCGTGTAGCACTTCCGCATCCGCCTGCACCAGGACACTCGCTGAGGGGACTCGCTGAGCTGGCACCAGGGTGAGTGACAGGTTTAGACAGCGGGAGACTGTCCCTGAGAAAGCCGACATCCCACGGGGAATCCTGGCACAGGTCTCTCCTCCAAATCGAGGCAGGGGCTGCGTCTGCACAACGAACCCTGTCAGGGTGGTGGGTAGAAGGGGGCTCCCCAGTCCCCAGACTGGCCACTGTCACCTCACATGGTGCAAGGGCTTTGCAGACGGGATGAGGCAGCACACCCTGGCTCCTAGCCTGCTGCCCGCCTGGTGAAGGGACCTAAACACCAACGGCTGTGACATCTCTCCAAGCACCATTGCGCACTGAGCCACTTCCTGACCACCGCCTCGAGGCCTCTCAGTGGATCTGCCGTGTGTGCGTGTGTGTGTGCGTGTCCCAAATCCCAAAGGGACTGCATGCGTGCGCGTGTGTGCGCGTGTGTGCGCGTGGGGTGTGTGTTGGGAAGAGTGCTCTGTCCTCCGAGATCACGCATTTTCCCAATCCTTGTTAGAGATAATCAGTTAAGGGAATTTCTGGGGAAAAAAACCTGTCCTCCCGCGGGGGCGCAGCGCCAACCCCGCCCGGACCGCGCCCTTAAGAAGCCGCGCTCCCAGACGGGGCGGCCCCTGAGCGCCCACAGCGCCTGCACCCGCGGTCCGGCTCCTTCCTTCCCTGCGCAGGAGCGGCCCGGGATGAGCCCTGCTCTTACCTGCTGGTGTCGCTCCGGGACTCGCCCACACTCCCGTCCGCCCAGAATCTGCTCCCGAGGTCCCGCTGCCCCTGGGCCCGTCCCCTCCCGCGCATTCGCTAAATGTCCCCTTGGTCGCCTCCCTGCCCTCTCTCTGCTCCTCCCTCGATCTCCAGAAAAGAGCTGGAGGTAAGTTAGCAACCCGGGTAGGAGGGAACGCGACCAGGCTGGCGGGACCTGAGCCTCCCGGCCCCGCGCGGCGAGATCTGGGCCTGGGCTTCCAGTGCCAGCGCTCGGGGTCGGGTCGGAACCCTCCCGAGGCTCCAGCGCCAACGGTCCAGGATCACTCGTGCTCACAGAAGCTGGAGAGAGGTCTTAACCCAGTAATGGAGCCTCACCAAAACGTGAGGGACACAGCGGAATCAGGGACCGGGAAACCCTTCAGCCTGGAAGTGAGGACTTCGTTCTGGGTCCGGACAGCCAGGCAGAAAGGCCCCGCCGCCACTCCAACCTTCAGCCAATTTCACTCTCCCCTTGCTCTATGGGGCCACCTGGTCTGCTGTGAGCGGCAGTACAGCCGGGCGGGCTCCACACCAGGCCAGAGCTGACACTGCAGACCCCTCACTGCAGCATGATTTGGTTCAACTTCCAAGAATCTTGCAAAATTTTTTTTTTTTAGAATTGTTTTTCCTGTAGGGCATGTGTGCTCACCAGAGAGACAGAGACAGAAAGCAAGAAATCACATCCTCTCCAGGAGGTACGGCCACGCGGCAGTCCCTTCTCCTCCATTCTCCTCTGGGAGTTCTGGACACACTTGCACCCCGCCTGAGTTTTAAGCCGCCAGGTCCAAAACTTGAACCTCGGTTAACAACATGGGAGACCAGCGATGTAACTCAGCCATCTGTTGGTCCCTTCTTGTAAGATTAAACGTGGGGCCTGGGGCCCAGGAGTCACAGGGAATGGTGTGTCGTGTCGGGCGTGCCAAGGGGCACACGGCTCCGCACCTACGCGATTGATCTGTGGGCTCTGTGGAGGCCCTAGGACTCTGTGGTACAAGCCATCCTACGGGTTCAAATTAAAATAGACGCCCTTGGCCAGGCAGTGGTGTGGAGGCAGCCCGGCCCACACTGGGAAGGTCCCAGGTTCGGGTCCAGGGACCTCCCACGTCCATGATCTGGGCTAGCCGAGGCTGGAGGAGATCTGTCTGTCTCTCTGTCTCGTGGCAGAATATAGAAATAAACATTGGCAAAGTGAATAGACATCCTCACACATCATTAGCAATATTCCTGGCAACCCGTAACTAAAAGTCTGGAGAGCAGGAACCCAGCCTGTGTCGCACAGGGACAAGCCAGAGCTGGGGTGGGGGTGGTTGCCAGCTGAGACCCGCCCAGCCCATGGCGGCCGGGGCCCTCCTGAGGTGGTCAGTGCGGGGCCCAGTGGACATGCTGTGGACGTGCTGGGCAGCTGGCTCCCACATGTGGCCCTCTTTGCTGAACAAGAGCAGGTGTGCGTGTCCACATCTTTGTCCTAAAACCAGGACGGCCCCACCGCCCTGTTCGGCTCACAGCACATGGTGCAGCAAGTGGAACCGGCCTCGCCACCCCACTCCACACCCTCCCCACGTGCAGACTTGGCGGCTCGGAGTTACTCTGCTGCCAGAGCGATCCGCAGCGTGGCCTTTGGAGCAGGGGATGCAGGCGGCTCCGTGAACCAGCCTGGGACCTGGGGCTGCTTCTGAGCTGCCCTGACCTCGGCTACTGGGTCATGTCCAGTAACATAGCTGCTGACCTCCGGGGCTGCTTTGAGGGTGGAGTGCGGCAAATGAGGTCCCACAGGCGCCTGGTTCTGGCTCCCAGGAGGCCTGCAGTATCAGCCGCACTGATATTTAAAGGACTTGCAATCCCTACTCCAGGATCAAAACACAGCTGGGGTGCAGCAGGCGACCTGGTGGTTAAGGTGTCTGGACCGTCATGGCGGCCACCGTCTGAGTCCCAGACGCAGCAGCTTGTGAGACATGCCAGAATCCTGAAAGGAGAATGAGAAGGGATTGTGGCATGGCCGCCCCCGGGGCAATTTCTGACTTGCCCTCTTCTCTCTCCCTGTCTGTCTCTTTCTCAGGGAAGCACACATGCACAAATTAAATAAATAAATAAATAAAATACGGTGATGTGAAAGGTAAGTTTGCCATTGACGTTTAGCGTGGGCTGCGAGACAGGGAACTGTTCACTGTCACCTTGTCTGGCACGTGGACGTCGGGGTCACGCTCGGGTCACTATGGAGGACGGTAAGAGACTGAGGACTCTCCTTCAAACACTGGCCTGAGCACTGCACCCTGGAACCTGAAGGGGGCGCTGGTGGCCGGGTACCAGGAGGCAGTATTCGCTGCCTACGCCGCGAAGCGGCAGGTCTCGCCCTCTGACCGGAGATAGGGCCTCTGCTGCTACCCACGGCCTGCAGATGCTAAGTCGAGAATTTACAACTTCCTGTTAAAAAAGTGGAAAATGTTGCGGGTTTATTCCCTTGCAAAATAATCCCCTTTCAGAGTAATTTTTTACACCCTGCCAAACTGAAAAGATCGAAGTGAACTGCTGGCAACTGATCCCAGCGGAGCCTGGAGCCCCACTGCCGCACCGACCCGGCACCCCTGTGCGCCCCAGCAGCGCCAGGCTCCCCCGGGCACGAGCCTGCCCGTCCACTCCGCAGCCGCGCTCTTCACCGACCCTCCTCTTTCTCCCAGGAGCGGCGCCGTCACTGCGATGCAGGACAACGCCAGCGCCTTCGGGGAGGAGGGCTTCGTCCTGGTGGGCTTCTCTGACCGCCCCCGCCTGGAGCTGGCGCTCTTCGTGGTGGTGCTCGCCTTCTACCTGCTGACGCTGCTCGGCAACCTGGCCATCATCCTGCTGTGGGCGCTGGAGCCGCGGCTGCGCACGCCCATGTACTTCTTCCTGGCCAACCTGTCCTTCCTGGACGTGTGCTTCACCTCCGGCTCCGTCCCCCAGCTGCTCCACAACCTGCGCGGCCCCGACAAGACCATCAGCGTCGTGGGCTGCGCGGTGCAGCTGTACCTGGTGCTGGCCCTGGGCGGCGTGGAGTGCGTGCTCCTGGCCGTCATGGCCTACGACCGCTACGCCGCCGTCTGCCGGCCGCTGCACTACGCCGTGCTCATGCACCCGCGGCTGTGCGCGCAGCTGGCCTCGGCCGCGTGGCTGAGCGGCTTCGGCAACTCGCTGGTCATGGCGCCGCAGACGCTGCTGCTGCCCCGCTGCGGGCGCCGGCGCGTGGACCACTTCCTGTGCGAGATGCCGGCGCTCATCGCCATGGCCTGCGTGGACACCGCGGGCCTCGAGGCGCTGGCGTTCGCCCTGGCGGTCCTCATCATCCTGGCGCCGCTCGCGCTCATCCTCACCTCGTACGGGCACATCGCGCGGGCCGTGCTGCGCATGCGCTCGGCCGCGGGACGGAGGAAGGCCTTCGGCACCTGCAGCTCCCACCTGGCCGTGGTGTCGCTCTTCTACGGCACGGTCATCTACATGTACCTGCAGCCCGCCGACGCCTACTCCCAGGACCAGGGCAAGTTCCTCACGCTGTTCTACACCATCGTCACGCCCAGCGTCAACCCCCTCCTCTACACCCTGAGGAACAAGGACGTGAAGGAGGCCGCGAAGCGCGTGCTCGGGAAGGCGGGCGCGGAAGTGCAGTGAGGCGCGTCCTCCGCATCTCCTCCGGGTGAAGGCGCTCCTCGCACCTCGGGCTCAAGAGGCCTGTAAGGACATGGGGACGTCACCAGCTTCGCCGCCTGAAGAAAATTGTCCTCTTCCTGAGCCCGAGAGCACCGTGCTCCTGGTCGGCGCCGCTGTCTCCCCTCTCCTGGCACGGAGGGCTCCCCCCAGGATGGAGCAGCGACGAAGTTTGCAAAGCACCGCCAGGACTAGACAGCGGGCATTTCTGTTCTAGACGCTCACAGTGACTTACACTTGCTAGGCCTCCAACAGGTAGGAAGAGAAAGAAGTGCTGCAGAGGAGGCACGCACTGCTTCTAGAGCCCCACGCCCACTCCTTCTAGAGAGCCCCACGCCCAGAGAGCCCCACGCCCACTCCTTCTAGAGAGCCCCACACTCACTTTTCTAGAGAGTCCCACACCCAGAGAGCCCCACACCGATAGAGTCCCAAGCCTACTCCTTCTAGAGAGCCCCAATGTCTTCTTGCAGTGCCAAATGCCTGACAGAGAGCCAGGATACCCTGTTAGTGGTAGGGTGCCTAGGACCCCCAGTATCACAGATGACACAGGGCTCCCACACATTTGAGTCATCCGTATTGTTTATGTCACTCTCTGAGGCACTGGACAGTGAGGAAGGATGGCTACAAAGCCAGGCCCGAGGTCCACATCCGCTTTTTGTAGGAGGAACTCTTCATCCTCACCTGTCACCTCCTGTTAATAACAAGAGAGGGAGTTAATCAGACTTGTTCTAATCATCCTGCCTCCTCATGGGACTTGCAAAATATTCCAAAACCCATGCCCACTCCTTCTAGAGAGCCCCACACCCACTCCTTCTAGAGAGCCCCATGCCCACTGCTTAGAGAGGCCCATACCTGCTGCTTCTGGAGAGCCCCATGCCCACTCCTTCTAGAGATCCCCACACCCAGAGAGCCCCACGCCCACCACTTCTAGAGAGCCCCACACCGATAGAGCCCCACGCCCACTCCTTCTAGAGAGCCCCACACCCAGAGAGCCCCACGCCCACTCCTTCTAGAGAGCCCCACACTCACTTTTCTAGAGAGTCCCACACCCAGAGAGCCCCACACCGATAGAGTCCCAAGCCTACTCCTTCTAGAGAGCCCCAATGTCTTCTTGCAGTGCCAAATGCCTGACAGAGAGCCAGGATACCCTGTTAGTGGTAGGGTGCCTAGGACCCCCAGTATCACAGATGACACAGGGCTCCCACACATTTGAGTCATCCGTATTGTTTATGTCACTCTCTGAGGCACTGGACAGTGAGGAAGGATGGCTACAAAGCCAGGCCCGAGGTCCACATCCGCTTTTTGTAGGAGGAACTCTTCATCCTCACCTGTCACCTCCTGTTAATAACAAGAGAGGGAGTTAATCAGACTTGTTCTAATCATCCTGCCTCCTCATGGGACTTGCAAAATATTCCAAAATATCCATAATAAAAAGGAAAAATGGAAGTATTTCATTTCTACCCTCTGTAGACTCTTCTCTCAGTAACTTTCATCTGACGGTCGTTCCCTGGAAGCAGGTCTCCTTCCTTGAGTGGAGGGAGCACGGGTGGGAAGGAGCATCTGGACCCTGCCCAGAGCGAGACCGGTCCCTCGTAGCCATGGTGTCTAAACCTCCCAGAGAAATGAACATACATGTATGCCTCCGTGCGCGTGTGCGTGCATGTGCGTGTACTCACTGTGGCTCTGTTGAGAGCTGGAGAGGATGCACTCAATAAGTGCTTATCGATCAGGTTATCAAACCATTCTCTGTCTCGCCAACTTGACATGTGGTACAGAGTCCTGTGGACAACTGTCACCTGTCCCCTATTTTGTCTGTGTTCTAGTTTTTTTCCTCATTCACTCAGCAAATATGTGGTGAGTACCTCTTACATGCCAGGCATTATTCCAGGTATTGGGACAAAATACACAAAAATTCAGCCTCTCTTCCCTCCCCATCAAAAAAAAAAAAAAAGTCACTGTTGCATTGAATTTGTTTCCTAGGACAGAGGAAGAAAATAGACAAGTAAAAAAGAAAAACTTAAAATAGTAATTTTTAAAAATTGTCAGAGGGCATAGGCACGCATGAGAAAGAGGACCCCCCCCCAACAGGGTGAGGTCTTGCTGTCCCTTCTCCCCTCGTCTCTCCTAGTGGGGTTCGCGCCCCACACTCTGCATTCACCATGTTTCCCACGTCGCTGGGGCTGGGATTCGAGCCAGTTGGCCAAGTGAGACCAGGTTCCCTCACCGCCAGTCCAAGGCTAGCCCACATGACGGCATCTCGGTGTGTCGTCAGTGTAGCGGGGAGGGCGGGGGAGGTGTGGCAGCGCCAGGAGCTTAAATGGAGACGCTCCACGAAGAAGAAAGTTCTTTCGCTGAGGCCTGGGATACAGGAGGGGCCGAGGCAGGCCGGCAGGAGCGCAGAGCAGGCCGAGGGGCGCAGAGGAGTCCGAGGGGCGCAGAGGAGTCCGAGGGGTGCAGAGGAGGCCAAGGGCGCAGAGGAGGCCAAGGGTGCAGAGGAGGCCAAGGGCGCAGAAGAGGCCGAGGGGCGCAGTGGAGGCCAAGGGGCGCAGTGGAGGCCCAGGGCGCAAAGGAGGCCGAGGGCGCAAAGGAGTCTGAGGGCGCAAGAGGAGGCTGAGGGCGCAGAGGAGGCCAAGGGGCACAGGCAGGGTTAGGTCAGGAGGGCGCAGAAGGGCTGGAGAAAGGACTGCGGGCTGCGTAGGAAGGCTGGGAGCATGGGCCGCCCGGAAGGAAAGGGCAGAATGCGTCTCCGGGCGGAAGACTGGCCGCTGGCCTCAGCTGTAGATGTCAGGTCCCGCGAGATTAGCACAGAAAACTGGCCAGCAGACCCGGCAGTTGCTCAGACCCGCGGGAGCTGCCTCCGTGGTGGACTGCAGCTCCAGCTGGGAGCGTATGAGCGGCAGGAGGATCCGAAGTGGAGACAGTGAGTGAAATCCCGTCCTCGGAGCACTCTGGATATGGGGGTGCCGAGAAACGGGGTGGCGGTGCGAGGGGTGTCACGGGACCTGCTCCAGCCTGACTGCCCTGTCTGATAAACCAGCTTGTTTTTCTCCTCCGCCATCTGATGGTTTTGTTTGAGATCTCTCTTAGGAACTCCAAGGACAGGGCCACCGTGGGCGGTCACCCTGAAACTCGAAACAACGGGGGTGTTCCGCCCCAAGAAGCAGGAACTCCTACTTCGAAGTTCGACTGTGCCCTGAGCTAGGCCAAATTGAAGGTAACCTGCCCTGTGCGCTTCTGGACAGCCACGAGCCCTTGCGCGGCCCCTGCAGAAGCATCTGTGGGCGGCTGGCGGGTCAGAGACACCGGCAGGTCTCCCGGCGGTGCCCACGCGGTGAGCACAGAGGGTCAGGGTGGGGGCGTAGGGATCCTCGTCCAGCGGCAGAGGCATGAAAGAACGTGAGAAAAATGTTTTAGAGAAGGGAGTGATCCGTCAGTAAAATGATAATGTGGAGAAGAGAGAAGAAAGTTGCAACAGTGGAAACTTCCAGTGGCTGAAAGGGAACTGGGTCTGGCTCAGGGATGGTTCGGTTTCAGAAAGGAGCAGGGGCGCGGTAAGGAGGGGCGCAGGGGTCAGCATGGGTGCGGGCGGTCCGAGGCGCGTGGGAGTTTGCGCACGTTCCTTTCAGATTTTTTTTCACAAGTTAGGAATAGGATGTTGCAATTTATTATTGGCACTCAAATATATTAAAGCAGTGAAACACAGTGTCCCTTAGAGACTGGAGGGGACTACATTAAGGCCTGTTTAACTGGGCACATGGTCACCACTTGACCTTTCTTCAACCTGAAGTGATCTTTCACTATTTCCTTCTCCTCCGTGTGCGCCTGTCGTTTCAGATGGGCGCTCTCTCCTGCTTTTATCTTCTACTCACTGCAGGATGGGGCGCATGTATGCATACCGCTTCTGGGCAGTGGCAAGTACTCCCCAAGTGTCTTTAAAAATGAATGCCACCTTTCGAATGTTCTCTTGAAAACTCACTTTTCCAAGAAGACTTCCATGATTATGCTCACTACGAAAATGCTCAATTTTCCATTTTAACACCAACATCACATGTGCACACGCAGTCTTTTTTTTTTTTTTTAAGATTTTTGCCATAAGGTACATGCGCACACCATAAAGAGAGAGAAAGTCTGAAATCAGCCCCTGGGGGATGGTCATGCTGCAATCCCTTCTCCTCCATACTCCTCTCTGGATTTTGTGCACGTACACATGTGCCCGGTGTGATTTTCCAGCCTCTGGGGTCAGGACCTGAACCGTATAGTCGGCCATGTGGGATCCAGCCTCCTTACCCACTACACAATATATTAATATAAAGAGTTCTCTATACATTGTACACACAAGTCCTTTATCAGATAGATGTCCAGCAGTTATTTTCTCCCAGTCTGTAACCTTTTGTTTTTTCTTCTTTCTTTTTTCTTTTTCTTTCTTTTTTTAAAATTTTTTTAGGTTTTTACCATGTACTCACCAGAGAGACACAGAGAGAAGTGAGAAGTCATCCCCAGGATATAGGGCCACACCGTAATCCCTTCTCCTCGACTCTCCTCTTAGAATTTTGGGCATGCACACACACAGACTTGGCATGATTTTCAAGCTGCTGATTGGCCATATAGGATCCAGTGCCTTAAACTTCATGCCACCTACTGGCCCCAGGATTTTTTTAAAAACCTTTATTGGGATAAAATTCACACACTATGAAACTCACTCATTTAAAATATGCAGTCCAGTGCTTTTTAGTGTATTTAAATGCTGAAATGGGGCAAAGGGGGAGGAGGACAAAAACTGTCAACAAAGCATTTTATACCTATCAGAACTATCCTTGAAGCATAAGAGAGAAATGAAAACCTTCCGAGATAAACTGCAACTGAGGAAGTCCATTACTAGTAGATCCAGCTACAGGAAATGCTGAAACCAGAGGGTGCTAGTCAGTAACTCGGCTCTCTATGCAGAAATGAAGAACACAGATGTGGACTCAGCCCCTGTGTAACTGACTATGGAGATGGAAGCCACACACTAACCAGTGGTGTCTCTGACCTGGTCAACCTGAAAATATGCAGGGCAGATGTGCACAAGTGAATGGATCCTGGTGGGCTGACAAGTGGAGGAAGGGGCCACTGCACAATCAAGCCCTGTGCAGGGCATGTCCATCCACCTCCCATTTATGCACATGTGTGCTTTATCATGAATATTAAAACAAAAATTTTTAAAAAGAACAGTTGTAAAGATGACCACAAGGACCCCACCATGGTGGCACAGGTGTTGGGGCACCACCACAGGATACCGAAGTCACTTGGGAGGTCAAGGTTTAGATCCCTGGGTCAACCTGAACACTTGCAACTCCAGCTGACAATTTGACTGTAGCCTGAGAAACCTGAGCCTATGGAACTCTCTAAGCTGTACCCAAATTCCTGACTAAAAGAAACTGTGCAATAATAAATTTTTGTTATTTTAAACTTCTAAGATTTGGGGGACAATTTGTTACGCAGCAATAGCTAACTACTACACAATGCCATCAGCAATAATTGACCCTGATCAGCAGGAGGGAGCAGGGCTGGTTTTAGACCATAAACCACAGAAGATTTATGTGGGATGCAGGTGATCCACTTGGCCTCCTCCTGTAAACTCTTTGTCCTATTGCAACTACGGACAGAACAATGTAGCGACCACAGATGAAGGGCAGCCACCAAGGGCCCAGAGCTTTGGAAATACAGGTTCATGCTATAGGTACTGATGTATCTGAAATTCCAGGATAGTCTGGGAATTTGGTAGGTAACAATAAATATTTGCTAAAATAATTGAGAAATAAATTCCCCTTTTGATTGTCTCAATTTTCTCAGTAAAATAAGTCATAAGGTTCATCAACTGAGTGTGAGAGTAAAAGAAGAGGTATTGGTGATTTGAGAAACAAAAGGAAGATGTGGAAGAGTCGTCTGTGAAAGTGGTAAATAAGGAGCCAACAGGTGGTGTGGCAACTAAAGACACTGGACTCCCACATGGCCAACCGCAGTTTGAATCCCAGACCCCACAACTTGAAAATTATGCTGGGTGCATGTGCACACATGCCTAAAATTCCAAGAGGAGAATTGAGGAGAAGGGATTGTAGGGTGGCCATCCCCCATGAGGGGCGATTTCTTACTTACCCTCTGTCTCTGTTTGTCTCTCTCCCTGAGTGTACATGCCTATCCCCCACCCCCAAAAAAGTAAAAGAACTAAGAAAGTCCATAATCACCTGGAAGGATTAAAGGGTTTACTTGAGTTCTGTGGTTGTAGATTTTAAATGAGACCATTAAGAAGGGGGATAAGAGTGTTGTGTTTTGTTTGTTTGTTTGTTTTGTCTTGCAAAGCTGCATTAGGGGAGGCATGGACTTGGTAGAGAGTTGGACTTGCCCAAAGCTGTGATATTGTGATATTCTCTAAGGGAAGAGAAGCATAAAAGGAGGCAAATAAAAAATGTAGTATTCCATAATTCCATACATCCCAACCAGCAGTGTATGAGTCCCCATTCCCCAACATTCTTGACAGCATTTGTTATTTTCTGCCTTTTTGTTAACAGCCATTTTAATTGGACTAAGACGATATCTCAGAATGTTTTTCATTTGCATTCCCCTGATGATTATTGATATTGAGCATTTTTCATATACCTGTAACCATAAATATAGACACATCTCAGATTTTTTTTGCCCATTTTTTAATCTAATTATTTGGGATTTTTTGATATTAAGTCATTTGAGATTCTGGATATTAACCCTTTGTCAGATGCATAGTTTACAAATATTTTCTCTCATTCTGTAGGTTGCCTCTTCACTCTGATTATTTCCTTTGCTTTACAGAAGCTTTTAAGCTTGATATAATCCCATTTGCCTATTTTTGCTTTTATTACTGTTTTGGAGGTCTTATTAAAATATCCTACCCTAGACCAGTATCATGAAGCATTTTCCCTATGTTCTGATCTAATAGTTTCATGGTTTAGATTTCTTAGATTTAAATGTTAGTCCATTTCGAATTAATTTTTGTCATTGAAAACAGTATGGAAGTTCCTCCAAAAAACTTGGAAATGGTGCAAGTGGTTTCGTTGGGTGAGTCCCCAGGGCTGCCAAATACCTCTGAGAACCGTGTGAGGCAGAGGGGAGCCCATGGTGACAGACACCAGCTTACTCTAGAACTCCTCTGTAATCAGCTCCTAATTGACTATTTCCAAGATAGATAACCCCAGAGAGGGCTCCATTTTCTAAGTTGTAACAAAACTCATTTGAAACTTTTTAATAGCTGCAAGTCGCATGGGGAGAACATGTAAATCAGGCCAACTCTGCAAGGGATAGTCCCTGAGGACATGGGGAAAAACAAGATCATTGTCATCAGTAGTTCTGTCCTCATCATTATAATGAGACCTCTAGGGTCTTGTTCCTTCTAACTTCTGTAAAGAACTGCAGAAGTTGAAAATCACTCACCCACCTGCTCTAGTTTTAAATATTACCCAATAATCTCATCATGCAGAATCTTTTAAGATTTTCCAGTTATCCAAAGGAAATCACATGAGTAAATGTATCCACATTTCAATTCTACCAGAAAGCAGAAATGGCCTTTTATTAATGAATTCAAATGTTTTTTCATTCTTCAGTTTTCCCAATCTGGGATTCCATCTCCCTTTCTCATCCCCTTCAGAACAGAACTATCAGGGTAAATAAGTCGATCATTCTATGACTAATGGGTTAGCTCTGTTTTCTTTTCATTTAGAAGACAGGGAAGACAAAAAGTAAATGACTTAAAACCCTGAATTTTCTTTCTATTTATTTAGATTTATTAATTACAGCTATATCTGCATATCTGTTATATGAATTTGAAAAAAATGGCAAGAAGAAAATTAAGCTAATTTTGTAAAACAAGCAAACTGATAGTTTGTGTAAAGATAGGTTTGGTAGAGCCATGTTCACAGGCTGCATTTGAATCCACAGTTCCTAGTGGGAACTGCTGGATTTTACCAACAGAAGCATGATCTGCTCTCAGCTCTACAAATGTTCTCCTACTTTGACCTTGAAAAATACTGTTTTCTCAACTTATCAGTCTTTGAAAAAAACAATTTTTATTTCTACCAAATTCTTGGTATTGTGAGGAAATAACAGAAAGATGGATTTAATCATGTGCCTGCACTTATGCAGGTCAAGGAGCACTCAGGACAGGATGATCCGGGTCACAGCCAGAGGCAGACTCGTGGGCTCTGCAAAGCAGGGTGAACTTCACAAAGTCACTTCTGGGTTTTAGGCATGAGACACACAGATACGTGTTCTTGTGGGGCTGAGATTGTTCTGGGACTGGGGCCAGCAGGTGGGATGGTTAAGGTATTGGACACCCACATGGGTGACCACGGTTTGAGTCCTGGACCCAGTAGCTTGAAAATCATGCTGGGTGCAGGTGTGTCTATGCCTAAAGTCCCAGAGGCGAATGAAGGAGAAGGGATTGTGGCATGGCCATCTCCCGGGGGGTTGGGGGGTGGGCGTGGGGGGTGTTCTCACTTCTCTTCTGTCTTTGGTGAGCACACACGCCCTAGCAAAAAACTAAACAAACAAAAAATACTCTGCGACCAATCTAAATTTTAGACTCAGGTTCAATTATTTTTCTTTACTTCTAAAATGTTATTTCAACTGTTTTAAATGTTAATATGTGGCCAGCCTGCAGTGACTGATCCAGCCCTCTGCACAGTGAGCAGGGCTCCACATGGCCGACAGCAGTTCCAGTCCTGGCCCGGCAGCTTGAAAAACATATTGGGTATGTGTGCACGCATGGCCCAAGTTCTGATGGGATGGAGAGACGGAGGAAAGAGGAAGTTTAAAATATACCTTATAAGGGACCAGCAGGTGGTGTGGTGGTTAAGGCACTGAGCACTCCCACATGGTCAACCACAGTTTGAGTCCTGGACCTGTTGGCTTGCTTTCTCACTTTCCCTCTCTCTCTCTCTTTCTCTCTGTATGTCTCTTTCTAGTCAAATTAAAATTAAATAAATGAATAAATACAATTCAGTAAATAATTCTTTATCTTACATATTTTGGTTTTACTTCCATATTAATATATACATACAACACATTCTTTTTCTGAACCTTGTTATTTATGATGACTGTGCAAACATTTACTCAACTGTTATTCAATCAATGGACATTTAGCTACATTATTTTTCTATCCAAAATGTAATTGTGGTGTGTGCCTGTGTGCATGTGTGTATGTTCTTATGCAACTATTCCTAATAAATTCCTGGAAGTGGAATTAATGGATCAAAATCTTGTGCATTTACCAAAATGTTTAAAATTTAGTAAAACTGTTCTCCAAAAATTTTAAACTTTTGTTTTTAAAAAAGAATTATTTAATTTTATCACACTGGCAGGTGGTATGGTAGTTAAGGTGCTGGACTCCCACATGGCTGACCACCGTCCTGGGGACTCCCACATGGCTGACCACCGTCCTGGGGACTCCCACATGGCTGACCACCGTCCTGGGGACTCCCACATGGCTGACCACCGTCCTGGGGACTCCCACATGGCTGACCACCGTCCTGGGTCCAGACCTGGCGGCTTTCTCACTTTCTCTCTCTGCCTCTCCCTGGTCGAGTTGAGAAATAATAATTTTTTTTTTTGGAGAGGTGTGTGTGGTTTTGTTTGTTTGTTTGTTTGTTTGTTTTTTGCTATAGGGTGCATGCGCTCGCCAGACAGACAGAGAGAGACCGAGAGACAGAAAGCAGAAAATCACCCCCCAGGGGGGATGGTCACACCGCAATCCCTTCTCCTCCATTCTCCTCTCAGGATCTTCGGCAGGCACGCACGCACACGCGCCCGACGTGAGTTTAAGCCACCGGGTCCGGGACACGAACCGCGGTCGACTTCGTGGGAGTCCAGCGACATAGCCATTACGCTAACTGCTGGTCCCAATAATAAATTTTAAACAGAATTATTTATCTAATTGCATTTATCATCATAACAATTTTTAAAACTTTATTACAGGGTACATTTGCTCACCAGAGAGAAACAGAGACAGAGAAAGCAAGCCACCAGGTCCAGGACTTGAACTGCAGGCTATGTGGGGGTCCAGCACCCTAACCACCATACCACTTGTTGTCTCCTTAAAACTGGTTTAAATTCTTGGGACCAGCAGTTAGTGTAATGGCTATGTTGCTGGACTCCTTTGTAGTCAACTGAGGTTCGAGTCTTGGACCCGGCAGCTTAAATTCACGCTGGGCACATGTGCATGTGTGCTCAAGATCCCGAGAGGAGAATGGAGGAGAAGGGATTGCGGCGTGGCCATTCCCCCTAGGGGGTGATTTCTCACTTTCTGTCTCTCTGTCTCTCTCTGTCTTTCTGGTGAGCGCATGCACTCTATAGCAAAAACATTAAAAAAAAAAAAAAACTAGTTTAAATTCCTATACAGATGCATAAAAATTCCATTCTCAGCACTGGCAGTTGGTGTGGTGGTTAAGGTGCTAGACTCCCACATGGTCGACCACAGTTCAAGTCCCAGACTTGACAGCTTGTTTTCTTACTCTCACTGTTTCTCTGTCTCTTTGGTCAAATTAAAAAATAAATAATAATAACAAATAAAGAAAGTTTAAAAAGAATTCCATTCTCTTATACCCTCACAGACTGAGTTTGTGAGTTGGAGGAGTGTGGTATGTCTGGGGACCATATGTGTAATGTTACTGTTTCAGTAAACTCTTTGTCATTTTTTGCCTTTTTGTCCAGTCCAGGTAAGTGTAATCCTTATTTATTTTAAAAAGCTCATTTGTTGGAAAAAAAAAAAACTCTTTAATCACTAAAAATATCTGCTATATATTCCACATATGAGTTGTAAACATTTGTCTCTGTTTTCAAGAACTATTAACAGGATTTATTTGGAAATTTATGGACCCCATGCAATTTGTTCATTTGTCATAATTTGTTTATTGTTACATTCTTTGAAACTTCATTTAAATTTTTTATAATTACTATAAAATGATATCATTTAAAATCCAGATAACTCACATATGTATTCTGCTTCAGAAATGAGCTTTTTAGGGTCAGGCATAAATTTCAAATAACAGTTTGAGGAAACATGCTCTTGTTAATGTCTCCCTAAGTGAATCTGCTTCCTTTTTTTTTTTTTTTTTTTTTGTTAGAGGTTTCTGCTACAGGACGCATGCGCTCACCAGGCAGACAGAGAGAGACGGAGAGACAGAAAGTGAGAAATCACCCCATCACTCCCCAGGGGGGCTTCCTGTTCACTCTTAGGCATTGTCCCTGAGGAATCTTAAAGGAATTATTCTGATTAGAGACAAGGTTATCCCTCTGGAGGATCTTGGGGCCGAATTTACTTTCTCCAGAGGGTAATCAATGTAGTCTCAGTTTATCTTTTCTTCTTCTTTTTTTAGATTTTTGCCATAGGGTGCTTGCTCTCACTGGGGGGTGGGTAAGAAATCTGAGAAATCACCTCCCCCCAGGGGATGGCCATGTTGTAATCCCTTCTCCATTCTCCTCTGGGGATTTTGGGAAGGCATGCACACACACCTGGTGTGATTTTCAAACTGCTGGGTCCAGGACTCAGACCGCAGTCAGATATGTGGGAGCCCACTGCCTTAGCCATCAGCACCTGCTAGCCCCGAGGGCATTACCTCTGACTCTGTCGACTGACAGGTAACCTTTATCTCCAGCTGGGACTAGTAAAGTTACGGGACAGTAGCAAATATAAAATTCATGGAATTTGATTGTTTTTCTTCAAATTAGATTTAAACAAAAACTGAGCTCCGAGGCCAGCCCCTGGCCAGGGCACCACAGGAGCTGGCGCCCACATGGCCCACCACACGGTTGGAGTCCTGGGCCGGGCAGCGTGGGGAACCTGCCAGGGGACCTGTGTGTGTGCCCCGGGTCCCAGCAAGGTGGCGAGAGATGGAGGGTGCAGCGTGGCATTCCCTGGAAGGACGCTTCCTCCCTCTCTCCGGCGAGCACATACGCCCTTGAGGGGGCTGAACAGAGCACAGGAGACGTAACCGTGAGCCGAGCCCAGACCGACTCTTCTCCCCCTCTCTTTCTCTTCGCTGTAAGGCACGTGTGCTCACCAGAGAGAATCAGAGCGCGAGGGAGGAAGTGATTAGTGTCGCGCTGGCTCTCATCTGGACCCCAGGCCAAGGGGGCTGATCGATACCGCGGAGGTCAGTGCCGTAGACCCCGGGACGAGAGTCCCTGGAGACGGCTGGACCCGGAGCTGGGGCAAGGGAGTGGCCTGGCCTGGAAGCCTTGCACTGAGAAGCAAAGAGGTTTCCAAGCACACCGGCGCGGGGGGTCATGTCAGCCAACAGGAGGGGCACACAGAGCATCTGAAACTCCCCACCTCCGAGGTCCGGAATTACTTGCACATACAGTATTTCTTTTTTTTTTTTTTTTTTGGAGAGGTTTTTGCTATAGGGCGCGTGTGCTCGCCATACAGACAAAGAGAGACAGAGAGACAGAAAGCGAGAAATCACCCCCCAGGAGGGATGGCCATGCCGCAATCCCTTCTCCTCCATTCTCCTCTCGGGATCTTGGGCACGCACGCACACGTGCCCGGCATGAGTTTAAGCCACCAGGTCCGGGACTCGAACCGTGGTCGACTACATGGGAGTCTAGCGACATAGCCATTACGCTAACTGCTGGTCCCCATACAGTGTTTCTTTACAATGCACACAGACGCCAGGCTAAGGGGGTTCCCTGGAAAAGCCTTGGGATACTCTGGTGTGGCCGTTAAGGCACTGGGCTCCCACAGGCCAACTGTGGTTCGAGTCTCAGACCCAGAAGCTTGAAAAATCATTCCAGGCACACATGGATGTGTGCCCAAAATCCCAAGAGAAAAAATGAAGAAGGGATTGCAGCGTGGCCGCCCCCAGGGGTGACTTTCCACTTTCCCTGTCTCCAGCAGCAAATGCGCCCTCTAGCAAAACCTAAAAATAAATAAGGAAATGTCAGGGGTAATCTGAGCATCAGAAGAAAGATCAGTATTGATACACTGTACGGGACCAACGGCATCCATAAGAGGGAAGGAGGAAAGGGGGGGGGGGGAAGGCGCCGAAGGTCAGCCAGTACGTGGACAGGACCAAGCGGGGAGAGCACAGCTATGTCCACTCAGCCCGAGGGACGGGAGCTCATGCTCTCTGGATCGCCCGCGGGTCCACTTCCTGGGAAGGACAGCGGCTCGGCTGGGGACCCTGGCATGCTCTCCATCCTGGGGAAAGCCACGCTGCCTGCTCTGGCTGAGCTGCGTGTCCTCCTGGCCACGTGCTTGCCAGGCAGCCGCCCCAGGGCATCTCCACCAGCTGGCACGGGCGCCCAGTCCTAAGGAAACATCGTAAACCCCCAGTGAGGACTGAGGGGACACCGTGACCCCACACCGAGGACCGAGGGGATGCCGTGGCCCCACACCGAGGACCGAGGGGACACCGTGACCCCACACCGAGGACCGAGGGGACGCTGTGGCCCCACACCGAGGACCGAGGGCAGGCCATCGAGGGGATGCCGTGACCCCACACCGAGGACCGAGGGGACGCCGTGGCCCCACACCGAGGAGTGGGGTCATTTGATAAACCGCTGCCTGGTTCCTGCACACGGAGAGTCCCAGCAGTGGAGAAGGACCTCGCAGAGCTGAGGGAGATGGAGAACAGGAGAACTGAGCGCAGCGTGACCCTGGGCCCGGTCCCTTCGCTCTAAGAAACGGTCCAGGGACCCCGTCGACCCTGGTGGGGCCGGGAGTTCTGTGACGTGTGAGGGCAGAGCGGTGGCCGCACCCAGGTCCTGGTGCACAGGGAGTCCCGGACCCATCTGGCCGGCGTGCGCACGCTCTCACCAACCCCGGAACCTGGTTTCTGCTCATCTTAGCTACAGTCT